ACGTTGAGTGGCCTTTTCTTCTCAATCACTCTCTGAAAGTCACTCTGAAATGCGATGCTGCGAGAGCCTATCTTTTTTCCAAGGAAATAAATAGATTGTGTGCCACGAGCACGGAGAGGAGAGGGTTTCTGCCAGGTCATGCACAGGTAGGGCCATGCAGGGACAGCCCAGAGTTTGTCTGAGCTGCAGTCACCACCTCTTAGGAAGATTTTGCTGGGCAGAGGCACACGGGACAGTCTGGTGGTGCCACCACCGTGGCAGCCTGCAGGTGGCAGCTGCTTCAGCTCGTCTGCAGCATCCCTGGGCATGCAAACTATTTGCAAGAGGGTCATGAAGTGTGGTGAAGCAAAACAAGCTACTGCACATTGTGTACCCAGAAATGGGGAGAGGCTGACCACCTCTCAGCTGAAGAAGGGGGACTTTAATGCCCAAGGTGCTGGTGGGATGTCAGGCAAGCCGGAGCTCGAGGCCTGGCTCCAACGTGGTTGCGGTGATGGCCTGGATTCAACTATTTCAAAGGGCACCGGACGGTCAAATCAAGCCCCAAATTTAAATTTGTTAAAATAACTTTTTGCAAAACATTAGGACAGAGAGAAATGTTTCCATGGTTTTGTTTTTAAATTCCAAGTGGGAAGAGTTTATTTTTTCACTAGGAAACTTTCCCCGTAGGATTCACAACGCTGGCCGGGAGACAAGAACCAGCGAGCTCTGCTCCCAAATGGAGGTGACCCTAAGGGTGACCCTGTGCTGGTCACGTCGCCTCGTGCAGCCTCAGTTAGCCCTTGGAAAAGGGAGGTGGACACGTGCATGGCTGCAGAGGTGCTGGGATGCCAGCGTGGCCGGCTATGGGGCGGTCAGCCCGTGCCGAGCGGGATCTAAATCTGGACACGTAGTGTCTTGTATTTGCTTGCAATGAAAACTCTTACATTCCAAGCAGGTTAGGGGAAAATATGGGTCAATTACCAATCTCCTTGGCTCTGCTTATGCACAAGTGTCTTCCAGGGGGAGAGCCATGGTCTGTTCTTCACCACCACTCTGCTCCTGCTGGATCGCTGCAGATACAGAATGTACGAGCTATCACATGTTTACTCTCTGTTGGTTTATGCTGTTCTGAAAAGCAAAATATTGTAGAGATTTATAAAATTAACTGAAGATAATAAAAAAGGCACGGGGGCTCATCTGCTATCCCTCAGCTCAGCGCCCTGGAAAGCCCTTTATCCCAGCTGAGAGCCCAAGTGCTGCTGTTCCTGCCCCCAGGTAAGCGGGGAGTCCCCGGTGTTTAACGCAAAAATACACAGCTGTGAAACAGGGACTTTGGTGAACACTGAGATGAGGAAAGAAAGGGAAATCAGGGTAGGTTGAGCACCATTTACTAGAACTGGCTGAAAATAAAAGACAAAAAAATAGCAATTTGAAGTGCCCGTATCTTGCTCCTATCAAGGGAGCAGAGAAAGAGCACAGGGGTTCATTCTCATTTGTGATCAAAGACTTTGAGCTGATCCCATTTTATTCTTTACTACAATACACTGCTCTGTGACTATTGGGTCACGGATGGCCTCTTGCTTTGCTCTCTGAGAGAAGTGAGGACTTGGCATTTTTCATCCAACAAGTAGAATAGCTTGGGGCTCTGCTGGGTGAGCAGCTATCCCCCCAAATCAGTACTAAATTTTCATCACTAATTTTCTGGGATGTAATGAAAACTGATTTCTTGGACATGTGGTTTCCAAGGTGTCAGCTCAGCAGCTCAGGGGTTAATTTGGCTCCCTCAGTTTCAGCCTAGACATTGCTATAAAGGCTTATCCGAAGGGCAAAGCTTGTTCTTAGCAAGGTGGGAGCTGCAGGTACAACAACCCCTCCTTCCCACCTGTGCAGCCCCAGCTTTTCACATCTGATTAGGGCAAGCAAAGCAGAAGGAGCTGTTACAGGACAACTCCCTCGCATGGAGAATCCTCCCGAGGCTTATAACACATCTTCCATCCCTGGGATAGCTGGATACCTCCAGCAAGGCTTCCCCCAAGGGCAGGGCCAAAGGTGCAGTGTTGCTGGCAGGCAGCTCACCCAGGGAACCTCGCCCTGGTGGCATGGGCTGTGGAGCCACCCCGATGCAGGGAAGCAGCCAAGCGCTGCTGATGGGAATCACGGGAGGTGTGCCTTTGCTTTCAAAAGGGCTATTAACGCGCTTAGGGTTAATCACACGAATAAATCTCGCCCTGGCTTGGAGCCAAAGCCAGCAGTAAAAGCACCGATCCCCAGGCCTCCCGATGGGAATTGGCCAGGGCCAGGGCCCGTGTTCTCACCCAGTCGTTGGGAAGTAATCTGCGAGCTCAGCACAGAGACATCCGGGGATTTTGTTTGGTGTGGTCCCCAGCACACCCCCTGAAAGGAGCCTATCCAGGTGGAAACGAGTATCTTCCCGTGCCAGCCAAGATGGCAAGGCAGTGCCCAGGGGACATGGGCAAAGGGCTGATCTGAGCTGCTTTTTCTCAGTGGTGGCTTCAGGAGCCATGGAGGGTGGTTGGAGGGGAGGGCGAGCTCTAGTTCTGTCTCTTGACCTCCTTCAGGGACTTTGATGTATCAAAAATTATATATTTAAAGGAATGAGCTTCCCAAGGAGGTAAAAACCTTGAACTTCAAACCCCGCTGAGTGTAGGAAGGCATTTAGAGACACAAATCAGTGTTCCTAGTGCAGGAGTGACTGGGGGGCATGAGGGTTTTTCATGAGCTTTTATTTTGTACAGACACCACCAGGAAATCCATAGCAGGTGTTTGTATATGTTTAAGGGATACAGGCAGGGTTGCTTCAGATGAAATGTCCCAGGGAATTGAACCATGTCCCCATCTCATGTCCCATATTATAGCTGGACATAGTGGGAGACAAAAGCATTTGGGGTGGACTGTGAAGTTAATTTTAGGAGACTTGACTGAAGCAGCACCCTGTCTTTCTCCTTGTCCCAGAGTGGTCTCCCAGCCTCTGCACATACCACCAGGCACTGAGCTGGGCTGTTCAGCATCAAAAAAAGCATTTTATAGGTCAAGTCTTTGCGTTCTCTTAGTGCAGAAATCGGCAAAGACAGTCAATGTCAATGTGTGTGTCCCAGGGGATGCAGCAGGGAGAGGGGGTCTGGGCGGACAGGCCAGCAAAATACAGGGAAGCTGTCTCCCCAGCACTTGGGAGACTTGGTTGTCCTCTTACTTCTCTCCCTGGCTCCAAACCTCATTATCAAGAGGCTCAAGGAGGGCAAAAGGACCATGTGCATCGAGTCCCCTCTGCTGCCACCCCCATTAACCTTGCAGAAAGTGACTGGTGGCCCTTTGCAGGGAGCTCACTCGCACACACCTGAATTTCCTCACACTTGCAAGGGCTCGACCGACTCCTTGTGATTCATTTTAATGTGGCACAAAGCAGCAGCTTGCTGAAGCCTGATGTGAAACACCCACATACGCTCGCATTATATAATATGAATCTAAGAAGATTAAATTATCTGGTCTGAAGAAAAGCATGCATGTCTGGATGCACACATTTATACACAGTCTGGAGGGTAGTTGGGTGGAGCTGAGGGCAAGGCTTCCCTTCAGACATACTGAACTTGTGCTTGTTAGCGCTTAAAAAATGGGGCAAATAGAGTCTATTTGCCCGTGCACAGACACATGTGTGAAGCACGGCAGCAGCTGCGCGTTCTGCGCTTGAAGGAAACACGAGAAGCGTTTGTAAATGTGTGCTCGCTTATCCACCGTGTTGGCAAAGTCTGAGCAGCAGGATGGAGCAACAGGTGGAATCCAAACAGTCCTGGCACCAAACTTCACTTCTCAGCATACGGGAAGATATCGCTCCCTGGGAATGTAGACAGAGGGGGGAACTGTCCCCAAAATCCCTGCGCATCCCTCAGCAGCCTTGGAGGGCCCAGCCCATCCTATGGCCAAGAGCCCTGCCCTGCAGGCGTGTGCCTCGGGGCACAGCCCGTCCCTCAGGCTGCAGGACCACAGGCAGATCGATGCACAAAGTCGGGAGTCACGTTGAGCTTGGGGTGCCCAGACCTTTCGCCCAAAGATGCATTTTGCCTTCCACGAGTTTGGCGTTGGGAGGGGAATGCAGGGAAAGCAGTTCACCGGCAGCTGCCCCCGGTGCTCACGCTGGCCGGGCAGCGAATGGATTTGCCTTTCCCTCTCCTCCTGAGCCTTCCCGTCACTGATTCACATTGTTTTGCTAAATATAACCCGGCCTCTTGAAGCTGCTCACTCAGCTTTTACTCCAGCCGGAGGTGCGGGGCACGGAAGGCGCTGGCAGGAGCGGGGCTGGGCGGCCGCTGCCGCTTCTCCGGCACGTGCCGTCCCCGGCCGGGTCCCCGGCCACCCCCCGCCACCACCACCATGAAGNCCGAGCCCCTTCAGCCGCCCCGTGGCCCGGGAGGAGGCGAGGGGCCCCGGGGAGCGAGCGGCTTAGGGACGGAGGCCGGTGGCGGTGGTTCCAACGGCGGGCGGTGCGGGCCGGGCGGTGCGGGCCGGGCGGTGCGGGATGGACGAGCTGCGGGAGGGACGAGCTGCGGGATGGATGAGCTGCGGGATGGACGAGCTGCGGGAGGGAGTTCGCTTCACTTTCTCGCGCTGGAAATGCCATTAAGACTGTAGGGGCTGAGCTGGAATTGGCGCCGCACGCTCCGCTGGTGTGCGAGTCCCCGAGGTTGTAAAATAAGTCAGTGGGATCTAAAGCACAACGGCTTGAGAAATTAAAAAAAGAAAAACCAAAATCCCCGCGCTTGCACTTCATTTACCCTGTGTTTTTTTTACTTTTCCCCGTCCCCGCGGGGCAGAGCTGGGGGAAGCGGAGTTAAAAGCGCAGCGCTGCAGCCGGAGCGTCCCCGGGTGTGCTTGTGCTGGGCTCTTGGGGGGAGAGCCGGGGAGGTGCTCCGAGGGCATTGGATGTAGCTCCGGCTTACGAGGTACTGAGGTTTTTCCGCTGCCTTCCAAGGGGGGGCAGGAAGGAAGGGACCAGAAATAGACTGCCTACAGCCTCTGCTGCTCGCTTCGCCGCTTGAGTCGTGCTCAGTTCAGCCGGAGCCCCTCAGATCACTGGAATGCTGTCTTTTGTCTCTAGCTCTGATTATCTGAGATCCGCTGAAATGACTGAAGTGATGATGAACACCCCAGCCATGGATGAGATCGGGCTAAGCCCCCGTAAGGATGGGCTGTCATATCAGGTGAGTGTTTTGCTGGCAGTTGAGGCACTAATCCCATGTGGAATTGCCTGGGCTAAACTGTAAGCTTTGTCTAACGTACCTTTCCATGGCCTGAGCTAGCAGCAGGTCTTGCAGGAGTGAGAACTAGTCAACTGACTGGAATGTCTGCTTGGCAGGAGATGGTTGTCTAAAGTATCACTCTCTATCAGTGCAGGTTGGCAGAGGATTCGCTTGTTTTGAAGTGCCCGAGCCCCTGCTCATTCAGCGTTCTCGGGGCTCACTGGGAGATGGGTTAAAGGAGGATTCATGCCACTCACTGGGCTGAGAGGGCTCTCGAGGTCTTTCTGATTCATCATACAGCTGATCTGAGAGCAGGAGGATGCTGTTTATACGGTATCCACATCTTTTTGGTCTAGTTTTTGGTTTTCCTCACTGATATGCCCATTTGAGAGTGTTAACAGTCATCTGTAAGATACAGTGAGACCAGACACAGCCTAAATGAGCCATGAAATGTCACTGGAGATATTGGTACCTGGAGGCATGAGTTGCATTTATTCTGAAACTTCTGAACAGCGTAGTTAGCTATTAATGTCTAGATCAATGGCTAGGGTGAAGAAGTGGTCTTCAGCTAGATTGAGACTTAATCCTTTAGTCTCAATTTCCCTTTCATTTCCTTGCCTGTAGTTAATCAAAGCACAAGTCAGGCACCTTATCTTCCTAGCTCTGTGGTTTTCTTCACTTCCAGGAGGCTCATTGATGAGATCTGACACAGATGCAGAGTGCTGGCAAATGACTTGCATCTGTTCTGTGCATCGGGTGACTCTTACGGCAGATCCAGATGCAGGCTTTGTCCTTTGCAGATGTTACACAACCTGCACAGAGGCACTTGCTCCAAGTGTGCATTCAGATGAGATGCTGTATGTTTGCATATTTGTGTCTGAAAAGGGAACTATAAAGCAGCAGCAGTGCACTGAAGCATGGAATCGACTGAACTTTGGGCCACTGCCGAGGCCTCCAGCAGAAGCCATAGCTATGTGGAGGAAAAGGGGATGCATTCCTTCTTTTAGTTAGGATTCTGGCTCTGGATAATGCAAGTTGTTTGGTTTGTAGCTGTAATATGCTTCAGTACTTGAGTTAGTGGGGAGTATACAGCCTTTCTTTCCTCTCTTACAGAAGGAGTGCAGAGGGAATGACAGTTGTTAAATGTGAAGCAATCAAAGTAACCTGCATGCAATATCTTTATGGGTCACCTTATGAAGAGGCTTAACCCATTCAGGTCAAATGCCTCTATTTACCCATCTAAATTCCCAGGGAGAGGCAGAATCTAGGTGCCCTGCTTGTTCTAATGATCACTTAAGTGATATTCTTCCCCGAGTGTTTATGACCTTGATAAGTCTGCTTGGGTCAACTGGGGAACAGGACTGTTTGGTTCTGAGTGGATCACCTGAACACGTGAGTCATAAAAGCTGACAACTCATATCTGTGCAGGGCTTTTGCATCCTAGATCTATTATCTTTAGTAGTCCAGTTATAGATAATTTTTTTCAAATGCCTGCAAGGAACTTCACTGTGATGTGATGAAGAATGATGGCAGCAAGCGTAGAGTTGAAATAGGAGACGCTTATGGCACTAGCAGTGTGTGGGCTGTGTATGAGGTCTACCTCTAAATCAGGTTAGTGTAAAGAGGATTGGGGAGCAGGATCCAGCCTTCCTTCTCTGGCTGCTAGGCTAAGAATGTCACAGTGTAAGTCAAGGTAAGTTTAAACTGTCCTTAAAGGGTTGAAACTGAACTGAGACCAGCAAATCTGATGCAAATAGCACCATGAACTTTTTGTTCTACCTCAGACTTTGGCACTTTGTGCCTCATCTTGCTGATGGAGAGAGTTTGGTACATGGAAAATTGTATGCTTGTCTGAGAGCTGTAGTGCAATAACTTAAAACCAGACAGGGCTAATGGAGCATGACTGCTCCTACACTGAAGCTTGTTCTAAGCTGCAGCATCATCTTCCCCTCATCTGCAGAGTCAGGCACTCACAGTGTAACAGCCCTTGGTTGGCTATGAGAGGCAAAAAATAAAAAGTACACTTTTAGCTTCAAAATTTTGTCTTGTTCCTTTAGTAGAACTTGAATTCATTTTACTACAGAGATGACCTCAAGCTAGGGTTCAAAATTTCCCCCTTCAAGCTGTGTAGAGCAGGGACTGCCTGGGAGTTGGTCTGTAGGATGCTGCCTGTGAGGCTGGGGGCTGCTTCTGCCACCAGAGGCAGACATGAAACTGTCTGGACCAGAGGAGGTGGTACAGTCCAGCAGCACTTCTGGAATTCTAGAGCATATCAGTACCTGCTGCAGACAGATTTGTCCTACAAAGAGAACTGTTTCAAAGTCCTTTTGCTTCTACTTGGAAGTAAACTGAGGAAGCAAGCTCATATCCTGAGTGTAAACTTCAGCAATCTGATTCCTCTATCTTGTGGAGTTCACTGAACTTCTTGGCTCCTCTCTGTCTCAGTGGTTATGAAGGGAACTTGGGTTGTTGGCTTTTTTGCTTCTGCCTCTTCCACCCAGTGTGGTGTCTGTCTGTCCTAGACATCAGCTGAAGGTCTGCACTCTCCTCCCTGGTGAAGCACTGTGCCCTTTGCTGGGCTGGCCACGACAGCTCAGTAGTATGAAAACTCAGACTGCAGAAGGAATACCAGTATTAACTGAGGTGCCTCCATAGGCTTAAGGCAACCATGCTTTCTCATCATAGAAATTCCAAAATGCCCATTTTCATTTTACATATTTTTCCAGATAATATGCAAAATGCTTGTAAGCTAGTGTGCTACCTTCAAAATCATCCTCTACAAGAAAGCTTTTATTATTGTATTTGTGACAGCAAGCTGCTGTCTGATCCCCCTGAAGATGGTTCAGCCAACAGATTTCAAGGGCCTGAGCAGAAGTGAGTGGTGAATTTAGGGCATGAGTCTCAGAACAGGGCAGCATAGACAAAACAGAAGATGTGACTGAAGAGATGATGTCATGCTGGGTCTTGTGCCTGCAGTGAGAAGCTATTTCTGGATCTTTAATAGATGTCCCATAATTCCCATGGGACTTACTAAACAAAAAACTCATTGAAATGCAGCTGATGGCTCAAGTTGCCCCTGCCACAAACAGATGTGGCTATGGAGGGCTTCATGCACTTCCTGCCTGGCAATGTCCAGTGAGCCAGACTGTTTCTGCTGCCAGCCAGAGCTAATGCACTGTTTGCTGTTTCCCAGCCCTAGAAATGCCCCTTCTTTGAAGAGCCTCATCAGCACTCTGCCAGCTTGTCCTCTGCGCTGTCTCCCAGCGGCACGAACAATGCCACTGAAACTGAGGCTGAATTAATCATTTCGTGGAGCTGTTGTCAAAACAGTGCCTTGACCGGAATCCTATCTTGCTTCTTGGAAGTGGAGCAGGGTCTGAGCACAACTGAAAATGCTTTGATGCCGAAGTGTGTGTTCTGAGTAAAGGCAGTATTTTGAACTGAGTGTGCTGCTTTGCTGCAGGCTGGCTGACAGGTGACTCGCTGGTCCTTCAGGCTCCCATGTAGGAGACTGGCCTGCAGAGGCTGAGCTTGCTTCATGCCATCAGCTGAGGTTTGGTTGTCATGGGGAGCTTGATCTCTTTAAGTCATGATCACATCATGCTGGGATCTGTCTAGCTTAATCACAGCCACAGCTCACTGGGAATCACGTCAGAGTGGCTGAATCTGGGTAAATAGGCTTAAGGCTCTATCCAGTGGCTGTGCCAAAATCTTGGTGTTAGGGAAGTCATTTCTGGTGAGTGTAACACCTCTTCACCAGCCCTGGGGAAGCACTGGCTTTCCCAGGCAGCTGAGGGGCTTGAGCTGTGTCTTCTGGATCTTCTGTTAAACTGGACCACCAGTGTGTTACTGGCCCAAGGGATGTTGGATCAATGGAAATTGAACTTCCTCTGTAATTGTTTTCTTGTCAGGTGCTTCATGTCTGTGCAGCCTTGATTTGTGCAGGGGAAGTGCTTTAGAGGTGCTGCTTGCTGCTGTGGAACGTTTTGAGACCAGGCTGTGAAAAGGTGGTGATAGCAAGCATGGCTGCTAGACAAATTAGTGGGCAGAGTCAATGTGTATGCCAGGGTCTGGGACCTCAGTGAAGACAGAAGCAGGATATGGGGTAAACAGATACAAAAGCAATCATGTTTGCAGCTATTCTGTGCACAAGTGTTCCACTGAACTGTAAACTGAGGACAGCAGCTCATCGGAACACCTCGGAGCATGTTTTTTCCTCCCTACTTTGATGCCTCCTTACTCTGAGGGAAAATGGTTAGATGTAGGAAGTTTCCCTGACATCATGCCCTGAGACAGGGCAGTATTTCTGTGGCTGGGGAGTTGTTGTGGCTCATCAACCTGAGTCACAGCTGCTGTGTACATTCTTTGAGCTCGTTCTCAAGTCATGACTACTGTGTGAGTAAATGTATGTGTTGTAGCTGGAGAAGTCCTCCAAAGAGGACACTGAGAGATGACTGAAGTACTTCCTGAAATGAGCTTGCTGTGCTTCTCAATGGCACTAAAGTTTTATTTTCAGAACTTCAGCGCTGTTTTGGGATTTGGTATATTGACTTGATATTGCTGAAGAGGCACAAAATTCAGCTCTTCAGTCCAAGGAGGATGAGTGATGTGTCCATCAGGGATGTATCCTGCACCTGAGGTGGGATGTCTCCCATGCAGACTTTGCAGTCTCGTATAGTGCTACCACAACTGAGCAAAGCTTTCCCCCAAACCAGTAACTTAATTTGGAAAGATGTCATTGCTTTAGTCTCCCTGTAATATAATTTAAATAGTTTTCAGCCCCATGGGAGGGCAGACCAGCATTTTAACTATGGGTGTTGGTACGGAGTACGCATGTGGAAGTTGTTTTGAATTTTTACAAGTGTCACTTGGATTATGGTAGTGCTGAGCTAATCTTCTTAATTGTCTGACATCTCTCCTGCTTTTGGTGTTTCTCCATTCCTGTGAATTCTGAGAGAGGGTATGAGCCTCCCTAGGGCAATGAAAACTTTCCGTTCTTGTTGCCAGGACTTCAGCCAAGGATTGTAGAGCTAGATCATCTGAAACAGAGGCAAACATGATCTTCCTAAAATCATTTCAAGGTTTTGTTTCAAGTTCTGCTTTTCCCTGCCCTTTCCAGCTGCAAGGCAAGAGTTTGGTCGATTTGTATGTGATCTGGGTAAGTTCATGAGGAGAGCAGTTCCCAGACATAAATCCAGAAGGGCCTGTAAAAACCAGTCTTGCTGTTGGCAAGAAGCTGTGTTGAGTAGTGTAGGAAGCAGCATATGTGTCCTCTGTGGATCTAGACATGTTGGATGTGTCTCTCCATGGCTAGGATTTGGGGCTCAGCTACAAGGGAGGCTCTGTGGAAGCAGTTGCAGCCCCTTGTGCTGTGTCATATAGGTGGAGGGGTGGAAGATGGCTTTGAATTCCTGCTCAATTTGCTTTTAGGCAGCCATCACAACCAGTTGGTTGGTACTTGTCCCCCATCAAGTGACCAGGTTTGCCAGGGGAAGGCATCTGCTTCAGCTGTGTGCAAGCTGTCACAACGAGAGGGAGAAGCTAACCCATGTCTGTTGCCCTCTTGGGTGGGGTGGGAGGTGCAGAGCCTTCCTTCCACTCCTGAGCAGGATAATGTGAGCAGAAGGGCTTGGAGGCAAGTGGTGCTGTCCTGGCTGCTGTGCCAGAGAGTGCAGAGCTCCCAGAGCTGAGCTGCTGCACTTTTCAGTGTGGAGCTTGCTGCAAGCTGGGGAGATTTTTTTTCTCCCCATTGTCTAAATCTGGAATGGGACCAGATTAGGCTTATGGAACCAACAAATGTAGCATGGTGCTGCTGGAGCAGGACGGAGAGCTGCTGCTTGCTTATCATTTTCTATAAAGAGGAGTGGGGAGGCTGGTTGGGTTCACCTTCTCACTTGGCATCCTCAGATGTACTGATAGTCTTAAACCCTTTTCTTCAGGCCCTTGTGCTTGGCCTGCTGTCACCCTGCCCATCACATTGGAGGAAATCTGCCTTTCTGTATTTTTTCCATTGACCGTCCACGCCCCTTCAAAGTGCAGTTGCAACATCTCCCTTCGTGCTGCCTCAACGAGTAAAAAGCATGACTTAGTGGAAAAAATCCTGACCTTCTTGGGTTTGGCCTGTCCTGCAGCTGTTTGAGATAAGATTGTGCTAGGGTTTTTTTTTTATTATTAAGAAAGCTGCGCACCACATTTTGCGGATATTTGTTTGTAAGGAAATGACTACTACTTAGTTTCTGGAAAAAAAATCTGGCAGGCTCTTTTCAAAGAAAATGCTCCAATTTGACCTAATGTGCTTAAAATAATAGCAGTTAAAGGTTAGTTTAATTATTATACTGCTATTTTTCTTCCATAGGAGGCTATTTTCATGACATTATCAGCTTATGTAACCTCTTGAACCACACTTTTTTTTCCATTGCAACCTTCTAAATCATGTAATGTCAAGGGTATTTTTTTTTCCCCTATCCTGGGTTTAGATAACTTGATGCTTAAGAGCCACTGGCTGTACTTTCAGTAATGCACTGTGTGCCTGATTTTGTTTGGCCAAGCAGAAGCCACAAAGCTCCAAGAAGCAGTTGCTGTCTCACTGGTGCTGGGAATGACTAATAGCAAGCAGGTAGCTCACACTGCAATGCCCAGGTTGATGTGGCTGTGTTCAAGGGACTTCAGCCCCTCTTGTGCACCTGAAAAACGTGCACAAGGAGCTGGACTCTTGCACCACTGTCCCCAGGACCAGATAATCACATGCAAACAGTCCCTGATTTGTGCATTACCTTCTGTTACCTTGCCTGAATTTGCATTAGGTAGCAGCCCGATGGCTTTCTCAATCTGATTGCCACAAAGCTTTGCGTGTGGAGGAGGAATGAGGCTGAGTAGTAGAAGAATGAATTTTCCAAGGAGGCGATGCTGTAGCTAATAGTTGCTAGGCTGGAGAAGGAGTTGGTAGGGTGTTATTTCACTTTTTGTGGCCAGGACTTCCCAAGGTGGTGGGTACCCACATGATTGGCACAAGGAGAATGAGGCTTCATGGTTAATGCTCAGGGCTCCTGGATGGGGAGCCTGCTTCTGTAACTGGAACCACAAAGATAAAAGCAGATCAGATCTTGCTCTCAGGCTGAGGCTGGCAGTGCTGCTCCCTGCAAGGATGCTCTTGCAAGTCACTTGAATGCAGATGATGCTGAAAGAAAGGTACAGCCACATGACTTCTCACCTGGCCTACAACCTCAAGGGGAAAATGCACTTTGTCATTTTCTTCTTTGGGGTGTTTAAATGCAACTCTAATGTGAAATGGGCAGTCTGATAAAATAGTTTGAAATAGCAGGTGGTGGTTGTTTAATCTTCTGGCTACTAAGCAGGAGGTCTGATGTAGCCAGTGGATTTTATCACCCAGCAATTCCCTTCTGGATGAGCTGGGGTTTGAAGCTGTTCCTCCAGCAAGTTACCCACAGCCTTTTCTGTTCACATTGCAATCTAGTCATGCAAAGCTGCTGCTAACACTGCACCAGCAGTTTTTCTCCTTTATTCATGCTTTGCCTCAGTTCCTAGTAGGATCAAAGTGTGCATCACTGGCACTACCAGTGAGTATGGGCCCTGGTGCTGCACTGCACCAGCTTGTGCATCTGTGTGGTGAGCAGTGGGTGGGAGGGAATGGAGTAAGGTGCACCTTGAGGGGCTGGAGATTAAGGAGTCCTTGTATTCACTGTGTGAGAAATACAGTGCATTACTGCTGGCTATGCCCTTTCCTGAAGAAATACAGTCCAGTCTGCAGCCCCTCCATAAAATGAGTGTCCTGCTGAGTTTCACTGCTGATGCATGGTAGCTGTAGTGTGCAGAATACTGCCGGAATTATCTCTAAAATGCAGCTGAGCTATTTCAGGCTGGCACTGTGGCTCTGGAGTGATAACAGACACAGGCCCTTGCTGCAAGGGTCTGGGTTGCCATGAGCCTCCTGCCTCCCAGCAGCAGAGCCTGGAGAACAAGCCCATTCTCATGTGCAGCCTGACCAGCAGCAGGAAATGAGATCTCAGATTCTCTGATCGAGATAGCTCTGTGTGCAAACTCAAGAGCATTAATGCAAAAGCAGGGGTGGGGGGCAGTGAGGCATTTGGATAAATATCCAAAAGGGCAGATACCTATTTGCTGAGCACTATCCAAGCAAGCATGTGCTTCAGGAGCCTCTTGGGCCGTGCTCATTTCCATTACTTGGAGACTTGAAAAGGTTATTTGCAAGTTCAAGAGTATTCCCATCACTCAGTGGTTGACTCTGTGTCCAGACTAGTCTGCCCTGGAGACCTGAATGTCTTGAGCTGGGTTTTGGCTGAGACTGCATGAGTGCAGCCCCTCTCACAGACTGTTGTTGGCTCTTTCAGATCTTCCCTGACCCCTCAGACTTTGATCGTTACTGTAAGCTGAAGGACCGCCTGCCCTCCATCGTGGTGGAGCCCACGGAGGGGGATGTGGAGAGCGGGGAGCTGAGATGGCCGCCCGAAGAGTTCCTTGTGCAGGAGGAGGATGAGGAAGAGGAGGAAGAAAACTGTGAAGAGGCAAAGAAGGACAACAAGGAGCAATAAATGGCATCTGAGGAAAGGCAAGGGACTGCACCCTTCTGAAGGAAGAGCCACACTTTCTTTGAAAGTCTTTTTAAAAAGACAAGTTCAATTTTGCACCTGCGAGATCTTAGTTTTTTTGTATTCTCTGTATTGAGAACTGAAGCCCTCGGTGTCACCAGACCTCCTGAGGAAGGAAGGAAGTAACGCAGAGAAATGTTTGCTGTTCTCGAGATCGTTATCTGTATTTTTCCGAGGCGGAGGCAGCAGTGAAATTCCAAGCACATGGCAGAGGGTGACCACACGAGGACTGCTGGAGGGGGGAGCTCGGGAAGGGGGAGGAAGGTTGGAGGTGGCAGCATTTGGCTGGGAGCTGCCTCTGGCTAGAAGCATGAGAACAGAGCCAAAATATCTCAGATTTGCCTTTCTTACAGCTTCCATTTTGTGTGTTGGGGGGTGGAAGGGTGTCCATAGTGAAGCATGGCTAAATGATCTAGTGACAAGGGGCCTGTAGCTCTCCCTGGTTCGGCACCTCCTAGGGTAAGGTGAGCGTCCATAGGAGTAGTCTGGTTTCTTGCTCTCGCTGTTGAGCCTGTTTTCCAGCCACTTTTCCCAAAGTTACTTTCTCCCCCTGTTTGCCTTTAGACTCTTCAATGCTGAGCTGCTGTATTTGCAGGATAGCGTTAGGCTGCTGCTTGTCATCTCTCCTGTGACGCCCTAGCTTATCTTGCAGGTGGTGAGCATGAGGTGATGTGCATCGGATGTAAAAAGGTGCTTCTGTCTGCAGCAAGAGCTCGTGTTTGAACACCTCAGATTTTTCTCTCCTGTCTGCTGAGACTGCTGTGGGTGGTCTCATATTTTATGGTGCCCCAAGCCCAATGGTGGAGATTTAAGCCTCCTTGCTTTGGTGTCCTTGAGGTTGTAGGGCTTTGTGTCTCTTAACTTGCTGGTCAGTGAGCTGGAGAGGGCTGGTATGGGGGGTTCTCCTCCAGCTTTGCACTGCAGGGCCTCCTCAGTGCAGGACAGGCTGGTGGGGAGGGCTGCCAGACCTGGGGGTCATCTGGAGACGAAACACCAGATCTAGTGTGGATCACCAGTGGGGTATGAAGTGCAGACTGGCTTGTGAAGTCTGGGTTTGTCCTCTCTTCATCATACCCTGCCTCAAGGAGAAGGCTGGTCTGCTGCCAGACAAGGTAACCTGCTGCTTTCCTGGAAAGGGATGATCTTGCAGCCTTGGGGACCAGCTTTGGGAGCCAGTCAGTCTTGGGATAGGATGAGAGCAGTTACCACCTAAACCAAATCTGGGGTCATGGAAGAGAAAAAGAAATGTAAAGGCCTTAACCAAATTTCCATAATAATCCCAATGCCACCCTCCTTTGCTTATAACTGGTTCCATTTTTAAAATCTATTTGGACATGTGTGTATTTGTATTTTTAATACCTCATGAGTAGTTAAACGCTGGTGGGGTTTGGGAACTGCTTTTAACATATTGGCAGGATTGTTTTAGTCTTGTCTTGCTTGTGTTTCAACATAATGGCAATAATTTATCAGCTCTGTGTAACTATTTTTGGACAGATCGGAGTTTGGAGATGAGTTAGCACAAAGCAGGAGAAATTCAGTGTTCCTACACTGCAGCTGGCCTCTGGTCCAGCCACATAGACCCAGTCAGACACTTTCCCTGCCCACCCTGGTGCAAGGTTGATCACCGAATGGCCATGATGTGGTGATACCATTTTCTCTAGCGATGGATTCAGCTGTTGTGTCTGTAACACTTGTTCTAGTCTTGCTGTCTTACTGGAGTGAGCTTGTATACCGCAAACCAGCCAGTCGTCTTTTTTCTAAGTGTTACTCTCTATTGGTCTCTACCATCTGTACCACCAAGTCAAAGCTCTATATCAAAGATATTACCATGTGGGCAGCAGTGAGATGGCAATCCTTGGACTTCAGACCTGCTGTCTGCCCTAAAGACTTGCATATTTGTCTGCATCCTTTTTTTGGAAGTATTGTGTATATTTCTATTTGTTGTTGAACGTAACTAAAGAACAAAGCACTCCAGTAAAACTCCTCCTGTTGTATGATATACATTCTATATTTCTGTAATTCTTTTTTGAGCCTCAGGGAGAAGCTAGCATTTTTTTCAAACTACATTTTTGTCACTGTGACAGTTGTAAATAAAGTTTGAAAATGCTTTCCAAACATACTGGCTTTGTTTTTACTGCAAAAGTGGGTTGGGATGAAGTGGATGGGTCCAGATCATGGCTGTCAGTTGAGCATGGAGATGCTGGTTTCTTAATGGTGGCTGGCCTCAGATCATGCCCTATCACATTGGAAACCTAAGTCAACTTTGAGGGGCAACACCTTTGCCTTCCACCTTCCTGTGGTTGCTCACTACTGTGTGAAAGGCTGCAGCAAACTAAAAAATAAATAAAATAAAAATAACAATAAATAAGCTCCTCCAGCTTATTTATTCCTGAAAAAAAAAAATCTGTATTTATATCTGTCATCTGCATCTACCCCCTTACCTAACCCTACAGAACATGAAGTGTAATGGAGAGTGGGAACTCTTCACAGCTGCTTTAGTTTTGTTCCCTATGTGTGCTCTTCCCTGCCCTGAGCAGCACTCATGAAGCCAAGTCTTGCCTTGCTGTGTGCTCAAGAGCCCCAGCTGAGCTCCCCAGGGTTGTCTGTGTTGGCCATTTTGGGTGTAGAGGTCAGCTCTTCTTGAGTAGTTGTCACTCACCAATGAGTTTGTGGTGCTGCTGGAGGATATGGCATTTCTGAGTGAGTCTGAGCTTCTCTGGTACCAAGGCACTGTTCTGGGTGTAGAAGTCTGACCACGCCAGGATTCAGTAATTCTAGTTGTGTACTTAATGGGATTAAATTTTCCACTAAAACCTGGTGATAAGAGGCAAATACCCTGGAATACCCATATCTTTAAAGTACATGGATAGAAGTTCCTGTGATTTGGCAGCTGACACTCTAATCTCACCTAGGCAAACAAGCCCAGCTGAGGCTGGAGTGTTATGTTTACATGAGACTAGTTTAAATACACTAACTAATGACCCTTCCATTTAATGCTTGAACTGAGGGCATGCTCAATGTGAGCCCCACAGTTCAGTGATGAACTGCATCGTGCTCAACCCTCATGGATATTTTATGCCACGGGAACAAATGCAGTATTAAAGCTGACCTCTCCTTTTCTTCAATCAACCTCTAGCAGACGGGCTTTGATTTCTTCCTCTCCTTGGGCACAGAGTTGCTTGCCTTGTAGAAGCTGCTGCAGGATTTCCAAGACAATCATATGTGCTGGTCTGAAATCATTGAGGATGTTTATTCGTGACCCAGAATATTTTTGTTTAAAATACAGCACTGGTTAGGGAAACTGCAAATGTACTGAACTTGTCTACTGCTTCCATATGCTTCACACCAACAGGTTTTCCAGGCTCACATCAGAATGAGGAGTGAATCCTGATGTATTATCCTGTTTTGCGGTGAGACCAGAAGGGTGGGCCTCTGAGTGGGCCTTGCTTAGCCAGGGGGTCTGCCTTGTATCATCCTGGAGCAGTGCTGGTGGGAGGGAGGCTCTTTCCTGCTTCTTGACTCCAGCTATTGTGGCCAAACTGGAACTTGGATCATGAAATGAAAATAGACTTGATGCTGAATGGGTGAGCCTTACTCATCCCAAAAAAATGATGGGTGGCATAAGGACCTTTCTTTGGATGCAGAATGTTTCTCCTGGCTCACATTTAAGCCTGAGGTATTTGTCCTCCTCAGAGCTTTGCCCTGTACTCGAAACTGATGACACAGCAAGCTGTGCACTGCTGTCCTGCTCAATTCCCAGATATTCCATTTGTAGTGTTTAGTGTGCACCCACTTCTGTTTGCCTTCATCAAAGCCCACAGTCGCTGGAACCTCTGCGCAAGAACTGCTGGCATCTGACTTTGCCTACATTTGGGTGCAGACAGGAAAAATTCTTGCTCTGTGGGAGTGCAGAGGTAATTCACCTGCACTGCATGTGGGGAGCAGCCACCCCTCAGATACAGATCCCCTTGGTGCAGGTTGAAGTCGTGCTCTGGTGTAATCACACTCCTTATCGTTACAAGCAACAGGAGAAGCTGAATTTTCTTTCAGGTAAGCTGTCTCCTTCCAGTTCCAGTTCCAGTAGGAAGTTCCCAGCTGATGAGGACATGGAGCTTTCATCCTTGTGATGCTGATCTGCTTTGAGATGTCTTGAAGCACAATCAAAAGTAAAACAAAATCCTCCAAGTCTAGTCACCTGGAAGAAACCAAGGGATGTGAGGAGCAGCAGCCTGTAATGCACATGCTCTGAGCTCTCAAAAAGCAATCCGGGGCACCATGCATCTCTATATAAACAAGAGGAACTGCTATCCCTAAATCCTTACTTGAGGAGAAAAGCTCTGGGTGTTTCATGGTCTAAGGGATGCCTTTCTGCTTATGTTTGGACAGTGAAAATCTGTGTCTGGATCTGAGAGGAGCACAGCAGAGTTTAGTTGTGCACCTGCCTGGTGTCCCCACGGTCAGCAGCATCTGTGTCAATGTCTCTGCAGCAGAAGGGCAGTGTATGGGACATCCCTTAAGCCATGGCCCATCCCCGCCTTTCCCGGAGGCCAGCCGTGTTAGTAACATAGTGTCATTGGCTTTGAGCACTTGGGTTAAAAATGTGTCACTTTCTACAGCCCCAGTGGTCATGCATCTGCAGAAAGGGCTGTGCAAGCCTGGCTGGAGAGCAGCTCGGCTGAACTCAAACTCATCCTCACACAAATGAAGGTTTATGAGTGCTGTTTTTAGCAGTGGGAGGGAGGAGTCTTCATGCCCATCACCTAGGGAGGAACTGAGTGCAGAGAAACCTGCTTCACCCAGGAAATGCCTGGGACTGGTGGGGGCATTGTGTGTGTTTATGTGATGATGAGCAGAGCTGCTGCAAAGCAAAGGAGGGCACTGTGGGTGGGGTTGTTAGGTGTGATAGTAGAGGGCTGCTCTGCCAAAGGCCTTTGTGGCTCCATGGTTTCATGCCTGAAGGACTGGAAATGCAGCCAGGACATACCCTGGGGCACCCACTGACTTCTGCAGCTCCCAACTTTTGCTCAGTGGAAGTTCACCTGAAGGAAAAGATGAGTGAGGCTTGACTGATGGCCCCAGCATGAGCTGAAAGCCGGGGGGCGGTTTGGGTACCAGGACTGGAGACAGACCAGCTGGGGAAGAGATTCCTTTATTCTCTGGTCTCACCTTCCCTATAATGGCTAAAAGGGGAATGACTAGGGTCAAAGCAAGAGAAGTAATTTTATTTGTTGTTTCAAATCAGACCTTTTCCTGTCAATGAAGAGCTTTTTCTCCCACACCAAGTTGTCAGCTCTGTGAAAGTTGTCTTGTGCTTTATCCGCGTTAAAAGAGAAAACCCAGCCCCATGCTTGGGCTCAGTGACCTGTACATGGAAGATAGATAGCAGTGGCTGGCAGGCAAGGGAACAGAGCCTGGAGAGGGGAACCTCTGCCCACCACAACAGGCAGCTGAGGCACAGCAAAGTCAAACCCACTGTTCTGAGAGCCCTGAGGGGTGGGAAGACTGCACAAGCCACAAAGGAAGCATGCACTGAGCACTCGGTCGCTGCCAGAGCTGTAACCACACAGGGTTACCTTAGCAGCGACCATCAGCTTCATCTGATAAAAATAAGCAAGGAAGTCAAGTGTATGAGAGGGAGAGGATGTCAGAAGCCAAGCATGAAAATGTCACAGCAGCTCTGCTTTCATTTTCAGTGCTTCCTTCTTTATTCTGCCCTCAGCCAGTTCAGGAGCCCAGGTATGTCCTGCCCTATCTGTCCCAGATGTGTCCTGCCTCTCTCCCAAACATCCCCTGGCCACATGCTGTGTGCACAGTGCCCTGCCATGGATGCTGGGACCCTCCTGCACACAGCCTGCATCTCTGCTGCAAGCTGCAGGGATGGAGCAGCAGCCAGAGCCCCATCCAGCTACAGCCAGCCAGCTCCCCACCTCCTCCAGGGTCTGCAAAGGTGAGGATCAGCACAAGGGGAACCACAGGAACATAATCCAAATGTGGTCACTGTCATGTAACAGCCTGCTCCTGCTGTTCTCCACGCTGAGAACAGCTCAGCTGGGTGAGGAGCTGGCTCAGGGCTGCAGCTTTCTCCAGCTGTGCTGGGGGAGGGAGAAAGGGTGGCTGTATTGCCGGGGTTTGAGCTCTTCCCCACAGGTTCTCTGCATTCGGAGGTATGAGCCAGGCAGGTTACAATCAGCTCAACAAATATTTGTCAAGCACGAGCCTTCCTGAGCAGTGCTTGACAGCTCCTTTCCACTGCAGTTGTTGGCAGCACTGCCAAGCCTGCCGTGGATGCTGCCTGCGGGGGTGAGGACTGACCCCTGCTGCCACCAGAGCTGCAGCCACACTTCCCCTGCTTAAAACCTGCTTGGTTTTAACCCATGTTCCCTGGGTGGGAAAACCCTTTCCAGCATGCCAAGAAGGCTCTGTGTGTGTGTGTGATGTGGGATTTGCCTCTCAGTGCCCTGCCCTCCCCTGCTCCAGTGCCCAGAGCTTGCTTTACCCTCTGCTCAGCCTTCTGAGTAATTGGACATTCTGATGTTGATTTGGTGGGTTTAGTCCAGTAAGGTTCCTGCTGCTGGGATTTGGGACACCTTCACAAGAGGGGAACAACAGAGGCAGCTTTAGAGCAGGGTCTCATGCATAAACTTGCTCTGACAGTAGGACAGGGGGAACTTTGCAGGGGCTCTTCAGTCCCTGCCAGGCTCAGCAGATCCTGCTGGGACTATTATCCCCTGCACTCAAGGACAAAGGGACTTTGTAGTGGGCAGTCTCATGACCTGTCTCTATCCATGGGGCTCTCAGCTGACCCGAAATGGGATTTGCCCAAATCATCAGCACTTGGATGTGGATTTCTGACTGGGTCTGCTGTGGGTGCCCCTGTGTGGAAGAGGGAAAAGCCTGTGGGCATTCATATGGGGCAGGGGAAAGTCATGCTGCATGCTACTGTGTACCCCATTGGTGCTCCAGATGGACTCCCAAGCTGTCCTGACCCATTCCAGGGCCTTTCTCAGCTGCCTGTTTGCTGCAGCATGTTTCACAGGCTGCACCCTGTCCATGTGCTCCTTGCCATACAGAGTCCTTTCTACTTTTTCTCAGTAGCAGCCCAAGCGATTTCTCCAGGCC